ACCTTGTGTTCGGTTTTCTAACGCATCCGAGTCTCTTTGTCACATTATGTACGTATCTGGCAGCAAATGGCAGAAAATGGCAAGACAATGGATATCAGGCACACCCGTGACACGGGTGCCCGGCGCGGTCGTGACTCTGCGTGGGAAAAGGACGCGTGACAACCTTCCTTGTCCTCTCCCACCAATGGCAACTCCCATCGATCTCCCGCCATGCTACCTCAGCTTTCCGTGCTTCGTCGTCTGCCCAGGCTCGCTGAACCAACCAAGCGGTGGAAATCAAGGTCTAAGAAAGGCTCCGTTGCTCCACGGGCGCAAGACTCGCGCCAGTCGCAGGTTGAGCCAGAAATTGGTCAGACAACACTGGATATACTGAGAGCCATGCTGAGGGAGGCGAGGTCCGAGGTGCGCACTGCGAAATGATCCCTTTGTTGTGTCGTACTTCCCATCCATCAGCCATCGCAGGCTGACGCTGTGAATTCGAGTCTTGGAAAAGGCTCTGTTGCTCGGAGTGCCCCAACAGAGGGGCCGCATCATGAACTAGGAGCAGTTATGAAGACGCCCAGGTCCGAGGTGTGCAAAAACAATTGTCCTTGTTTTCTCCCACCAAATCCGACTCTGTTCGTCGTCTACCCAAGTTCGCTAAAATCAAGCGGTCGAAATCAAGCTTTGAGAAAGGCTCTATCGCTCCAATCAAGCCACGGAGTAAGTCGCAGGCTGTGGAGGAAGCTGGCCAGCCACCGCTGTATATACTGAGAGCAATCCTTGCGCGGGAGAGGTCCGAGGTGCGCACTGCGAAATGATCCCGTTGTTGTGTCGGACTTTCCTTCCATCAGCTATTACAGGATGGTGCTGTCAATTCGAGTCTTGAACAAGGCTCCGTTGCTCGGAGTGCTCCAACCGAGAGGCCGAACCATGAACTGGGAGCAGTGATGAATGAGAAGACGCCCAGGTCCGAGGTGCGCAAGAACAATTGTCATTGTTCTCTCCAACTAATCATACTCTGTGCTCCGTTGTCTACCCAAATTCGCTGAAATCAAGCGGTCGAAATCAAGCTTTGGGCAAGGCGCTATTACTCCAGGGGGCCGGGCAACGCTGGATAAATTGAGAGCAATGCTTACGCGGGAGGTGCGCACCGCGAAATGATCCCTTTGTTGTGTCGTACTTCCCGTCCATCAGCCATTGCAGGACGACGCTGTAGACTCGACTCTTGAAAAGACGCTGAACCCCGAGGTGCGAAAGAACCACTCACTTGTGTCGCACTTTGTTCCTCTCAACCAATGCAGAGTGACTCTGCAACCCAAGCTCCTGCATCAGGGTCCGTTGGCGAATACAAAAGATCTAGGTGAGTTTTTCAAGGTTGAGCACTGTGCTGGCAGATTTACCATGCACGACAGTAGTAAGGGCAGACCGCAAGATGGATGGAAGGACCAGAAGGCGCCAAAGAACGTTGAAGCTAATAGGTGAATTTTAGCTGTTACTGTCTTAAGTGACTTGCGAACCCCCACCTACAGCTCTTCTCTCTCCGCCAAACCGGATGACTCGACTCAAACGTCCCACTACAGCGCGACGGAAAAGCCACACAATAGTCGGGTCAATCAACCCCCGAAGAACTTGCGAGATGAAGCCCAGCGAGTTGAGGTGTGCCACCTTTTTCTTAGACATCGGGTCTTCTTCTACTTTTCGCAGATTGAGAAGAAGTAGCAGTCGCAGCGTCGCGGAACGCAGTGTGCACAAAGCTGTATAATATATTTAGGAAGGATGAAAAACTATAGTCTGCATGCGAGCGGTGAGCGTGTCAGGATGCATCATCTACCGATACAGGTCAGGCAAGGACAATGGTTGATTGACTGGTTGATCTTGCCCTTGCTCGACCCGTGCTTCAATTCTTCACTTGAACCACTGTGTCAGAAGCAGCCTACGCATGGTGCCAATCATCGATGGTAGCACGTCTTGCAGGGCAGTTCGATCAGTTCAAGTCTTCTTCGTTCGAAATAACTGTTCGGAGGCAACATGGGTTCAAGTCCCGCCGCAAGCATCTCCAGAAATTGAACACATCTTTTTGTCGGTACTTGTATGGTTATTGTTTCACGGCCTAAGGAAACTCGACAGCGTTTTCTTCTTCTTCTTGAGACGCGGTCGCCTCGAACTCAATCTCCGGTAGTATACCCCTGGCAGCACACGCGACCGTGCTATTCCGGCCTCTGCATCACCAATCTCCCAAGTTGCATTACGGCTTCCACGCAAAATGTACCGGTCATGAGATACATCGATATCAGAGCTGCCATGGTTGAGTACATGCGTCCCCGAAAATTGTTTGCGGGGAGCAGAGACACAGGGTTCGATTCCTTACATGGCATGTTCGAAGTCGGGGATCCTTTTTTCCCGTGCAATGCTTGGTGACGCAGCTGTGGGTTTTGCAGGGATGCTCGGAGGTCGACGTGACGATATTTTGCAGAGATGTGGGCCCAACTGGCTGGAGGCATATGCTCGGTTCGCATCTTCCCTTTGATTTGGGACTGCTTTGGGACTGGTCGTGGGCAATCTTGATGTCTCCAGCGTATTCGACGCGCTGGGCGAATTGGGCTCGCAAAGCACATATGTTTTATAGGATCCTCCTCAACACTGCACCGCTTAAGTCATGCCTACTAATACAGATCACATAGCGTGATAAGTATACCCACTTCAAGCCTTCGTGGACGAATGCAGGTCACGCTCGATTAAGGCTGGAACATTATGATTAAATATGATCCCCAGCCATAATGTACTGTAATCGTAATATAATCGTAAGGTTTCGGCGGATATTTAATCGTACCCGTATCGTAATGTATCGTAATGGTAGAATAATCATATTTAATCGTATTTAATCGACGTGTTCAGAATAAATTTCTCCCGGTAGCTCCCTTGGATGCTCCCTCCACTGAGCCTCTTCCCGAAGTTGAAAGAGTGTGCTTATTGACCCCACAAGAGCAATTTTGCTCTGAATGGTCAGAACACTGCCCGCTGCCTCCAATCCACGGGTCTCCAGGCCTCGGGTGATATGGTATCAATGTCTGTGTCAGTTTCTGAAGTGCCTATATGTCCACCATCAACTCTTAACCAACTTTCAACCAACTTTGAACCAGCCATCAGATATCGGAAACTTCCGGAAGTAAGTCACATGCTAGCATCACGTCAAAATTCTGGGATAAACAGGACCAAATGATGGTCAAACATACTTTCAGTACACCTCTTACTTGGCTGCAGAAGTTGTGTATCACCCTATGGAGCCCAGATGACACTGGGGCTTCATATTAGGACAATTTGGGTCACTCCCTGCACTTGTTCAATCCTTAATATTATGATCAAATATGGGCCCCGTACCGTAATGTAATCATATTGTCATGTAATCTAATGCTCAATATTTTTAAGGCCTGGGATTATGGGGACGCCATACTTAATCATAATTCTAGGATTATAATCGATTATATTCTAATATAATCATATTTTTAGCCAGCCTTACGCTCGATTTTCGACGACACCGACAACACGGGTTCGACGCCGCCGGAGGCATTGACAACTCTATCGCCTTCGTCGACCAATGTCGGTCACGCCGTATGTGTATGGAAAGAAAGAATCGGGTTTTAGGGCACAATTTGGGCGCAATGCGGGTTCGATTCCCGCCGAAAGCATGAAGTCCCGGGTACATGTTTTTCTTGGTCTGACGCGCACCAAAAACAAAAAAGCCGGAAGAAAACGAGACACACAGCATGTGTTGACTGCGGGCGCGGGAGGCGGCATCAGGGTAGATTTTGGGCGCGAAGAACCAGCGAGTGCATACTTGATTCGGGCGCGAAGACAGTTGGAACAGGGGAAGTGAATTGATGGAATTTTCGGCGGTCACAGTATATTTTGAACTATTGGAAGGCGGTACGATGGCTAGACGAACAGGTTGTGTGTGATGTCCGAATTACGGACGCAATTTGTAAAGGGGACGGCTCGCGGCAAAGTACAAAGGCATGGCAGTCGGACCAATGGAGCATGACAACTCAAGAGCAACGCGACCCCAGCAGCGGGGCAACTGGGCGCTGCAAAGCGCTGGCAACTTGCAAGCCTCAACAGCGGACCGAGAAGGGACCAAGGAAGTGTGAATGCACGGATATAGGTCAGATCTGCGTACGCGAGAACAGGCAAGGAGAGCCGAATGGGAGCATTGCAGGAGAGGACATGGAAGCAAGAAGGAGAGAGACGGCGTGGCAGTGCTTCTCGTCATTGATTACCAGTCATCAAAGTTGCTGATCGCAAATAACGACACCCACTCCTGCTCTTGTTCTCCACCATCGTCTTTTTTGGCTAATGCGTATCCACCAAATCCGCCGCTTCTCTTTGGCTTTCAATGCTTCGCCTGGGTGAGCCTCGTCGCTCATCCCCATCCAGGAACCGTGCATTCTTCGTGCGCGTCTGTCTCGGTCAATGTCTGACTCCGTCAGCGTCGGTCTCGACTCAAATCGATTACCAGACGCACTCAAGCAACTGCTGTTCAAGAAACTGGCTTCAAATGCCTCCCAATTCCCTGTCGCAGATGGACGAATCGAAAATCACCACAACTCCACAACGGCAACCCCTGTTGCCAGTCACACATTGCGTCCCGCGCAGCTAACTACCGTGGAATTCCTGGGCGTAGTATCTAGCTGCCTGTGCTACTTTTCGAGGTGAACCCCCCTCTCCGTTGCGTTGCTCTTGACTTCCCAGTTGTGGGTGGAGGCTGGTTGTATCGTTTGAAATGGAATCGTTTCACCGTTTCACCACCGACGTACTGGGAGAGCGTAACCGGAATCCTTCCCCGGCGAATTGTGATGCGCTCGAAGGTCAGTCTACGCGTCATGAATTTTCCTCTCCAACTCGATTATCCCAGTGGCAAGGCGGCCGTCTCATCAAGAAGACACACTTCATGCAAAATCTGTCCGGGTGCGCAGAATCCTCTTTTTCAGTCGGCTCACCAACCATTCTCCAGAGCCCGCTAAGCCTTCGTGGATCAAAGTAAATTGCTTCCCAAGCATATATGGAATCCACCCATGCATGGAAGAGATGCGGGTTCAAATCCCGTCGAAGGTCTGGACCGTGATGCAAGGTGTTTCCTTCCCAATCTTACGAATATATTCGGTCGCGACAGCTGGACTTGTGTAGCTCGCTGGTCACTCTTATCCAGATTCTGACTCGGTCTCCACTTTACCTCTACTCTGTCCACCGGATTCAATTCGTAATCGGCCGAATTAATCGGCGACCACTCGGGTATCTGGGTCCACTCATTCTCCATCCGAGCTGCTCAACTCGCCCTCCTCGCCGTCATTCTATCCTGTCTCCGTGAGATAACCACGTCCGTGCTGTTATTTTACTGGGTTGTTTCCGTCTCTTTTCGTGCCTCATATTGTAGTCGAGGAAACAGTAATCATGTTCCGCAACCGCTGTCGGAACTCTGGCCATGACGGAGAGCCTTTGAATTGCTTTTTGCCTAATTCCACCCTACCCTTTCTGTTGTTCCGCTGCTCCGCGGCTCATCTTCCAAGGGATCGCAGTCTGATGAAGTCTCCCCGGGATATAGCCATCGTCGCGCAGGGAAGCCGCTACTCAATAAGCCGCTACTCGATAAGCATTACGTTTGGTGGTGGGGGATAGCAGGGTTCGACTCCCCCGATGGTGTATACGTATGAACTCAATTTTCTTTTTTATCCTGCCTCAGATCCGCGGGTGGCCGCATTTTTCCAACTTCGACCGCGGTGTCCGACGGGCGGATGTGCTGGTGAAGATTGTCATCGTGGACAGTATTGTAATCGCTGTTCGATAGAGTAACATCGTCTTGGTGTCGGATTAGGGAAATGCAACCGTCGTTGAGTATCGGCTGGAGAGTACTGAACGAGCCGAAGGGAGAGGAACGACTCGAAAAAATGAGCGCCACAGATCAATATCTCATGCCGTTGGAGGAGTCGAACCCCAGCCGCCTTTCGAAGTGAGAGGTTTTACAGCCTCAGACCCGCCTTGGCAGCGGCACGGCTATGCTGTCCCGGATTCCTTCGGAGGCAAAAGCGACGTGGCTGTATTATAGCGGGGTTTATTGAACTCCAGGAGACCCGAATGCACGTGTTCGTGTTGCAATCCTGGAATTGTTCGACTTCACGAGTTCTAGTCCGCAACGGTCCACCCACCGTGAATCATTCCATGGCGTGATAAGAACGCGACCGTATCCCCATTGACATCCCATCGGGGGGAGTCGAAACCCGCTGAACTCAACGTCACGCTCGTTGAATAGATAGGCAACGATATCCGTGTTCGACGACGGTCGTAGCTGGGGGTGGGATTAATTCGATAAGGGACGAACATTCGATGTGTAGCTCGCTCACACTGTGTCGCGCTCTGTAAAATTTGAAAGCAACTCGGCAAGAAGGTTAAGAATGGGACAGCGAAGTAGGCCTTTTAGCCGCACTGAGTAGTTTCTCTCGGCCATGGAAATTATTGGTCGACAGACAGAGTCGTGAGAGACCTAACCATCCCAGCGCAGTAAAAACAGGAAGCATCCAGATGCCGGGCTAGGTGTCACGATTTGTGTCGCTGGACGGCAACTCAGCAGATTTAGAAGCGAAACTGAAGTGAGACGCGATATGAGATGCCTGGGAGGATGAGTTGCCGGTCGGCGTCGTGGAGGGATCGTAAAATGCACCCATCGAATGGACGCATCGAATAGACGCATCGAATAGACGGAGAATGAGTGCAAGCATCGGAAACTAAGCAGTTCGCCGCTCCTCGAATAGTCTAAGATTGCGTCCAGTAGTGCAGACTGAATTTCGAATCCAGGGGACGGAGTCGAGGGTCAAGATTGCGGAGGGGCGACCCGCACCGGAAAGTGTGACGTCACATGTCACGCTTTCCGGTGGACTGGAGGAATGCTTCCCCCAGGCCCCCTCTTCTTCGCTGGCGCTGCCCCTTCCGCTGGCGCGGAGCCGTTTTCGCTGGCGCTGCCTTTTCGCTGGCGCTGGCATTTTCCGCTGGCGCGGGGCTTTTTTATGTAATATTCAATTTTTTCCTCCGTTCTCTTGCTGCCCCACTTGACCCACCAAAAAATTGTCACCCTATCGAATTTTGCGGAGCACCACTGCGTGGAGCATCCGCTCGATGGTGTGAGAATTTTTCGGTGGGTTGGCGTGGGGCAGCTCGAGAACTACGAGTCCGAGTAAAAATTTACATTTATTTCTTGGGATTATGTTGCGGGCGCCGGCCCGAACGGCTGGGGTTTTCCACCCCAGACCCCGACCGCTGGCGCGGGGCTCGCGCTTGCCGCTGGGCCCACTGCGTGGTGCTTCCGCTCGCCGCGGGGCCCACTGCGTGGAGCTAAAAAAATGTGTTTCGGCCGGATCGAACGGGGGACCTTTCAAAAACATGAACCACAGGAGGCGCAACCACTCCGGCACAGGCGCTTCTGAAAGCATTGAAATTGATCCCCCTTGAGAGGTCCGGCGTTACATGTCACGTGTGACGTCACACTTTCCGGTGCGAGTCGCAATTCCACCACAGATAGACAGCGAGCAGAGTCCACAGTGCAAGGTGAGGCGATTTCGAGGGCACTACGAAATGCGATCCAATATGGGCAGATTCTTATATAATCGTAACGATCTTGAAAACATCACAAAACGTGTCTCGATGAAATGTGCATTTCTAGCACCAGTATGTTGTTCTATCGCCTACTTCCGTTGGGCAATGTTGTACCTATGTATGTTTTGAACAACTTTTACTTTTGGAATTGGCGGTGTATGGTAGAAGGTGGCCGAGAAAAAGGCAAACAAAAACTTGACATTCCCATAGTAGGCTTTCGACCTTAGTCTAAACCCCTCTCACGTTAGTGACGCGGGGTTTTGATTGAGCCTACAGGATCCTCCTTTTTCACGTGCAAAAACATCCCGAGGTACAATCTGGTGCGCCCACACTTGAAACACCTTCTCCTTTTCTTTTCTTTTTTTTCTTTCTCCGCGCCCTTCTGTTCGCCAGAGCTCGCTAAAGCTCGCTCCGTGCAGACGTGGAAGTATCGAACACAGTGGCTGAGAAGATGAGAGATCTGCACGGCGTATCAGCCCCTCTATTAAAAAAAGTGCAGAACTGCGTTCACGCACATATACAGGAAACAGAATATACGCACCGGGGATACGTGCGCACCCTTTACATTAACCACTCTTGTTGTTAACGCCAACACCATTGAGTGGGCACTGGGCTGACCTGCTGATAGTGAGCGAGGATAGAGTGAGTCAGGGTTCAGAGATGTGAGAAGTGGAGGGGCGAGGGGGACGGTGCGGGAGCGATTGTCAGCAAACAAATGAGGCCGTTGGAAAGAGTAAGAATGAGACGCACTAAGTACGTAGGTGGTCACCGTTTAGTTGCTAATTTCGTCAATGATGTGACGCACACAAGAAAAAGATCCAGCGGGGGAAAAGCCACAATGTAGATGCAAATCCGATCGCTGACATGGATCAGCAGGAACCAAAGACGAGAAAAAAAGAGTCTACTATGCGACAGCCGATGGCCCGAGGCTCGAGTCGAACGAGCAACGCCGCAGAACGACAATCGACCTCAAAATCTGTTGTGGGGGCGGACCGTCCGCTACAGGAGTGTGCTGAAGCGGCGTGAAGGCCCGGTCCCTTAGAACGGTTTCCAACACCACCACAAGGAATGCATAGCCGTGGTGGGCGTACCATTCCGTAGTGGCGTCGAGGACAGGTGCGTGTTGAACCTGGAAGGCGAATGTGAGAATGAGCAGGTGGGATAGGCAAGTGGCATAAGTCCGTTGGGAAGCCAAAGAGGAAAGCACAGACTCACACATCGCGAAACTACCACCACAACGGCGCGCGACTCGAATGGAATGAGTTGGCGTGGATTGCGAGAAAGGTATCATCCTGGAGAGTGTATACAAAGCAGTAAAGCAGAGCGAGTGCGATGCATCGTACCTCGCATCTCCCAGCGTCTTGCGCAACTTCAACCTCGTGCCGTGCATTCGGGCGCCGCAGACAGTGACACGCGATTCGTTGTCTACACAGGTATGCCTGTACGGTGCTTCAGACCGAATCCACTGCTGACTTTGCTGAGACAGGCGCACTGTTCTTAACCGAGCGCGCTCAGCGAATCTGCGGATCAGGAGCGAGTGTGAACCGTTGAATTTGAACCTAGAAAATCCTGTTAGAACAGTGCCCCATAAGTACGACAGTATCACTCAACTGTCTTATTGCCTTTGTCGACCAATATAGGTCACGCTCAACTTGTACAAAGTAAAAGAGACTTTTGAGAGCGCGATGTGGGTTCAAGTCCCGCCGAGAGTATGGACAGCCGAATTTCCCGCTTTTTGGAGCACTTTTCCAGATAATTGCTAGATAGCCTGCTGATGAGCGAGGACATGAGTCCCTGGGCCTGTCCAGCGAGTGCGAGCGGCGCAAGCAAGATTTCCGCGGGCAGGAAACAGGCGAGCATGAGCAACAGATAAAGTCAAATGAATGAGCTGGCGGGCGGCGATGAGGGGTACAAAATCGGCGATGCCCCTCAGGCCAGGGATGTGGGTGCGAAGAAGAGAACGACGAGCGCTAACTTCGCGGAGACACTGGATATTGTGAAGTGATGGTATGCACGGATGTGCGTGCGAACAGCCGTAAGCGCGTCTAGGACGCGTACATTGCATTGGCAGCCCGGATGATGAGTGGTGAGGCCAGGGACTCCGAGCGAAGTCTCGGCGAAGCCATTCACTCAGTGCGACAAGAGCATCGCGACCGGGACTGGAAAGCCGCAAGAGAAAGGTGAGAAGGCACATCCGAGTGTTCCGAGCTATGGATAGGTAAAAGAAAGGTGTTGGCAGACAATTGAGGCAAAAGGACTTGCGAGATGGAGGCGAGATGGAGGCGGGAAGCAAGAGGCGAGGTGGCAGTGCAATCAACGTCATCGTCGCTGATCGCAAACAGCAGCACACGCTCCTGCTCTTGACCTCATCGTCTGTTTCTGCCAACGTCCATCCCTCGAAATCCGCTGCTCTGCGACCGCTCCTCTACTTTGGCCTGAGATATATGAGCTGCCTGGACTACAGCTTGGGT